TRWSTYGYCGTTTCGATCTCTGTCTGGAATGACCCTAGACTTCTCGAATTTTAGTTGAGGGTCTCGCTGGACTAGTCGACCATGCCCACTATCTGATCTCTCCCAGCTTGATCTATGTCGCTTTTCTCCCCGTCTCTCTCTCTTTGTACTATAATTCGCCCGTTCTCTTTCAAGGTCCCGACTCAGGTGAATTAATTCTCCAGCACTCATGTACTTCTGGGCTCGGCTTAAAGCCTCCATGAAAGTGCCTGGAGTTCTCTTCCCAAAAGAGAATACTAATCGTTCATCTTTCACACCAGACACAAAGGCTATCAGTGCGACTGCATCTGTCAAACCCTCTACTTGTAGCTTCTCTTCATTGAACCGAGCTACATATTCTTTGAGACTCTCCGTCGCCTTTTGCTTGATAGTCAGTAGGTACGTTACTGGTTTGCTTTTAACCCGCCCTCCGACGAATTGGGTGACAAATGCCTCCGCCAATTCCTTGAAGCTTGAGATCGAATTTCTTTTCAACTGTCGGAACCAGTTGCGCGCCGAGCCAGTCAGAGTAAAAGAAAATACTCTGCATCTGATGGCTTCTCTTATGTCGTAGATGTCTGCCCATTCTCGATACGCATCAAGGTGATCGATGGGATCTGCCGAACCATCGTACTCAGCGATGGCAGGTAGCTTGAACTTTGGACGAGCTTTTTCCTTCATTATCTTCTCCGTAAATGGAGAGTCTGCCTGGTTTATCAACTCTTCGAGACCAAACTTCTGGTCTCGGTGTCCTCCTAATCGAATCTCTGATCACATGGTCTGACTGGATGGCATTCTTCTGTCGACAGCAGTATGCCCGAGGCCGGCTCCGTCAACTGGGTTGCTCTTGTTTTCGTTGGGCGCGACAAACCTCTGTTGTCGTACATCTGCTTGCGGTCCTGACCGGCCACGGACATTGGTTCGAGGTTTGTCGTTTCCTCCTATCTTCAATTTGCTTCGTGCATGGCTGGTTGTCTCCCCAACTTCTTCAATCATCGGAGCTTTACCCTTTCGTGGATCACGAACAAACGCTGGTTGTTCCACCTCATGTTGCTCGAGTTTTTGCAGAAGTAGAGACATGATCCGATGCATTCCCTCTACCTTCTCTTCTAATGCGGCCATCTTGTCGCCTAGTTGATCTAGACCTTCGATCGGCTTTTCTTTCGATCCGAGAACTGGTCGGTCGGTATTCGTCGATCCGAGAACTGGTCGGCTGGTATCTCCGAGAACTAGTCGGTCAATCTCTCCTTCAACTGCCTCGGGCGGAGATGTGTCCCTCTTAACCTTCCTCCTGTGGTGGCAGTCTTCATCAGAATGTCGTGGACTCCTTACCGAACTCATGTTGATAAGTCTGCAATCTCTAGTCGTCCCCACAGATGGTGCCAATTGTTGATGCATAAATTTGGCCTTCTGGGATTCTACCAAATTCGTACCAATCTTCTAGAATAAAGGGATGGACAAGACTTGCAAAACAGAATAACACTAAAGACCGGTGTGGCTCTTGCCATACAGGCTTCGATGCTTAAGTCAGAATCAGAGTAGTTGAGTATAAAGTGTAGAGTGTTGTGAGCATACCTTAGGGTTTGGTTTACTTCTCTATTTATAAGAGTTGAATCCTAATCCCTATAGGGATTGTGGAATTCGAATTTTGATACGTTTAGGAAATCTCGTTATCTGAATCTGAGGAGAATCTTGAGGCAATCAGTATATCTTGAATATAGGATATCTGAATCATAAGGCCATCAAGATATCTTCCATTTGAATTCCTTAAATAAAGAGAATCTGAATCGTAGAAAATCATCCATAATACATGGCCATGTAAATAACAACAAAGGATCAAATTTTAATAGAAGATATAGACATAGGATCAAAATTGCTCCTCAGCTAAAGCCCATGAACATTAAAGCATTTGATGAAATACTTTGTTGACCATAAAAAAATATATTTATTTTACTTACTTTTCTCTAATTGTTGAAGGTTTGTATGCTTTTATGAAAGCCTTTTAAGAATCTATGGATGATGATATATAGTAGTTAAAAAAAAAAGAAAAAAGAAAAGAGATGTTACAATTTGAAAAAACAAAGGCAAGACCAAACACATCCTACCAATCGGGTTGAACATCAAACAGTACTCAAATTTTCCGACAAAGTAAGAATTAATATCAATTCCAAATTACCTTGTCTTGGTGGCTGGATTAATACAATTTTAGGACTTTTGGTACTAAAAATTAGAAAGGATGGGAAAGAATGAAATGGAGGGAACGACAGGATAGGAATTAAAAATTAAGAGGTAATAGAGTTGAACACTCTTGCACCAAAACATGAAAAAGTTAATTTTTTTTTTTTAATATATCTACCTTAGGAATACTCCCTCCTAATTAAAAAAAAAAACACTTTGATTTTTTTATATTTTTTAAAGAGGAAAAATACAAATATAAAATAATTAAATTCCAATAATTTTTTTGGCAATTACATAAATAGTTGCTTTTTTAAATATAGTAAAAATTAAAAATTTTGAAACTAAGATATAATGTAAAACATATTCACAAATAGTCAATCTCATGGTATATTAAAAAAAAAAAGATAAAATGTTGTCACATTTTTTTAAATACATATTAAATTTATGTTATAGATAAATTTATCAATCTATCTAATGTGTCCCACATGGGGGAGGTCGTCGATGACGATGTGGTTGTCAACGACGATGAGCTCTCGGTGCCACTGGTGGTTGTTGATCCTCGATAGGGTTGAGGTATTGTCCATACTCTCTAGGCCCACGTCCATGACCCTCATAACCATACTGTACAAGTGTGTGAGCCTGACTCAAACCAAGAATCGGTATCGTAACCGTATGTGTGGATAGGTCGGCATCATCTCGTGTCTGTGTAAAAGGTTGAACGTCATCGACATTATGAAATATATCTTCAGGTTGATGAATGTCGGACTCGTTTAGAGCATCCTACTCTAATTGACGATGTCCTCTATGCTTGGTGACGTGATTAGGTGTAGATACTCTATACAACTGATGAGAAGATGTCTCCCACCACTGGTACACAATCTATTAATATCTTCTTACGATGAGAAGATACTAATTTGTTAGAAACACACAGCCTACATAAAAACAAAATTTAAATAAATATATATTTAAATTTAAATATTTTGTAAAGCATAATTAAAACACATACCGTAACACCAAACACTACTCCTTATTAAGTGATATAACGCCTAGTAATTGACTAATACCAACTCATGTATCCGAGATCTCAATCACTATCATCGTCAAACGGGGGATGAATAGTAATATAATCTCTACGGCACCACCTAGCCACATAAGTTGTCGTATGGTCCTATCATGCCCGATGCCGAAGGTCTATGATATGTATTGTTGGGTGTGTTGCCCTAAACTTGTAGTTTGTAATTATGTAAGAACATATTATTTTCAATAAAGTTATGCTTTCAGATTCAGTCAAATTGTTGTTGAATTTATTGTCCAAATCAAATAAACTAAATATCCAATGTTATTTTCATGAAGTGGGACAGATATATATTAGATTCATATTAAATTCTATAGGTTATAAGGGAAGTGTATATTTGAATATGATTCAAATATTAATTGATTTAATTAAATGCGATTTAATTAATTGTGTTTATTTAATTAATTGATTAATTCAGATTTAATTAATTATTAATTAAATTAAATTAGTTTGTATTTAATTAATTATAACCACTCCTCAATACTTCTCTCTTCCCTCCTATGTTAAATCACAAGGTTTTTCTCTGATTTGAGTTACTTTATTTTTCCTAGCAAGGTTGTACAGCAAAGATAACCTCCCTCTCTCATTATCTTACAGATCCAGAAATTTGCTATATTTTTATTTCCAAGAAGGAGGATCTCAAAATCTGGGTTCTTGTTATTAAATATATAACAAGGTTACTTTGTGGTGGTGTTCAATTTTGTGTTCGTGGAGAATTGTTCGTGTTGTCGAAAAATTTGTGCTTGAGGAAGAAGATCCGATCACGATCTACAAAAGTAAGTTATCTTCTTCCCAAGAGGCTTAACATCTTTTTCAAATAGAAATGGTTCTATTTTAAAATCGGTAACGTATATAGTTTCTAAACCGAGTTGAATCACAAGTGTTCAATCGCTTCTGCTGGGGTTCGATCCGTTCATCTTTGGGTACCAACTACAAACATCTGGAATTCGTTGTTTCATACCAAACTACCTTGCAACTCTATCTGGCTGATACCACTCAACTACCTGAAAACAAATGTGTGGACTTCCTGTGCACCATATCTCATGTCCATTGTTGCAGTAATCTGGTAATGATTCAAATTCTTTATTGTATGGTTCCCAAATCATCTTAAATAGTAATGTAAAAATATCATATCAAAAGTCAATCGACTTATATTTATAATTTTAAAGATTTAAACACATATCGATCCCATTGTCAAGAGATCACCAACACGTATCTGTACTGAACCAATACATATGTCAATAATTCTGTGATACAAAATTGATATCTCCACCTACAATAATACTCTAAGTAAGTAAAGTTGTGACTATATTAAAAGAATTAATATTATGGCACAATGAATTAGTTAGATCAACATACCGTGCAGTTAATGGTCATCCCACTAGCTCATGTTCCGCAATGTGGCGATGCGATGGAGCCATGCTTGGGAACTGATCCCAAGCCCATACTTGAAGAAGTATGATCAGACCAGCAACGTCTAGTGAATCAGATCGACATGCCTTGTATAAATGTGGATACAACCATGCCAAGCGTGCTCCTCCTCAACTGATTTGTCTAGCAATCTCAAAATTAGCCAAAAATTGAAGGAACATCAAGTTGACCAAGTTATTAGACTTATCGACGAATAGACTACCACCAATAAGTTACAAAATGCAAGCACAAACATATCTAGTAATTGTTTCCTCGTCAGAATTGTCATCTAAGTTGCGGAACTGAGAAGATAACCATGGTAAACTAAGTCTAAATCCTCTAATGTATGTCATTTGGAGTCATACCAAGTAATAATTGGCAGGTGGCTTTCCAATCATAATATACAGGTCCTGTAACTGACTCACCATCTACTGGTAACCTAATTTGCATTGCTATGTCATGGAGACGGCTGAAGGAAAGCAGTGTTGATCGGCAAGATTGGCGCAGTGAACAGAAGGATGAGGCAGATCTAGAAAGAGAAAAAGAAACGCAATAGGAGGTGACGACTGTTTTTTTTAAGCCTTAACCTAGTCGTCTCTTGAGAAGAGGCAACCAAGGTGCAATGTGTTACTCATGCCAAATGGGTTTAAAAAATGAACTTGGTCGTTAAGAGACGACCAATTTTGCTTTAAAAAAAAATTATGTGAGTGCCACTTTATTGGTCGAACGACCTGCTATTTTCCAAGTATTATTCTTGGAAATAGTTTGGGAACTGACATATATTTGGAATAAGTTTTAAATTTAGCATTAATAAAAAAAAATATGGAGGTGTCTCCCCCTTTTTCTTCTTCTTTTTTTTTCTTTAAGAATATAAATACTTTTATCCACAAAGTTTATAAAACATATTTAATTGTCATTAAAAAATTTGCAACTAATTTTCCGTGTGAGCTTTGAAGTTCTCGGTCTTACAAATATTTTCTAAAATTTTAAAATACATTCTTGGCAATAAGCATATAAC